CCCCCGCCCAGGAGGAACTCTGCGATGTCCTCCCTCCCTGGCTTACCATTCCTTCCACAAGTGCTGAGTAAACAAAAGGGACTACATTGAAAAAAATAAAAACATCCAATCATTCAATAAATATTTATTTATAAACAGATTAAAGTCATTTACAAAATACCATAATGAAAAAAATTGTGAAAAATATACTTAACATCTAAATGTCTTATAGAGGGATTAAATGTGAACTGTAGTAAAAGGCCGCGTATATATCCCAAGAAAAGTGAAACTAAAGCACTAATGGGAGGTAGAAGAAGTGAGTCTCGTCATAGGACGGCTTTATGAAGCAGGGAGCAGTTGCAATAGACCGGCAATTTTCAGCTAGTGTGCCACAATCCTTTTTGAACATGCCAAAAGGATTGTCAAGGTCAGAGCATTGACCCGCAGACTGAAGGGTCCCGGGTTCGATTCCGGCCAAAGGCATGTACCTCAGTTGCAGGCTTGATCCCTAGCTCTGGTCGGGGCTGTGCGTGAGGCAACCAATTGATGTGTCCCTCTTACATCGATGTTTCTCTCTCCCTGTCCCTTCTACTCTCTCTGATAAAGCAATGGAAAAAATATCCTCTAATGAGGATTAAAAAAACAACAAAAACATGCAATACCTGACTACTGAGTCAGGGGCACTGATCTCTTTTCCCTTAGATTGTCAAGTAAAAAAATGGCAGCAGCCAATACAACAGCCATCCTGTGTGGGTGAGTCAAAAGTATACTTTTTTTTTTTTTTTTATAAGATCAGCAAATATACTTTTGGTATGCCCCAGAATTTTAGTAGATTTAAAAGGTTGAATATCGCTGGAAGAGACCATGAAGGATGGTAATAGAGCTAATATAATGAAAACAGGAATTCTGAACACAGAGAAAAGTGTGAGCACAGAAAGGTAGATGGGAGCATTCTGGGAAATTAATGAAATAGAATGACTTGAGCCTGATTATTGAGTCTAAAGACCTAAACCTAAGAGCTAAAATTACAGTCTTATAAAAATACATAGGGGGAAAGCTTCATGATATTGGATTTGGCAATTTCTTGGGTATGGCAACAAAAGTACAGGCAACAAACGAAAAATAAATAAATTGGACTACATCAAAATAAAAAATTTTTGTGCACCAAAGGGTGGAGTGAAATAGAAACCCATAGAATGGGAGAAAATATTTGCAAATCATATATCTGATAAAAGAGTAATAGCCTGAACATGTGAAGAACTCCTGAAACACAGTAACACCAAATAACCCAATTAAAAAATGGGCAAAAGACCTGACCACACACTTTTCCAAAGAAAATATACAAGCTGCCAAAAAGGACCTGAAAAGATGTTCAACATCGCTAATGTTGACAAAAGAAAGTCCAGCCTAAGAAAAAGTTTTATAAGAGTTTATTTGAACCAATCTAAGGACAATTGCCAGGAAGCAAAATCTCAACAGATTGAAAAAATGCTCCAGAAAATGAGTTTTGCAGCTTATTTTATACATTAGAACTTAAGGAAGAGACAGAAGAAGGGTCGCATGGAATCCACTGGTGGTGATAGGGGAAGGGCACGTAATAGGGGTAGAATCACAGTTGTTTAATAATTATTCACCTTACTAACTATACACATAAGAGGTTTTCTTACAGACTCTGGGAAACTGTGGAGAATGCAGTGTGGAAAAGGAAAACAGGGCCCAGCCAGCACGGCTCAGTGGTTGAGCGTCGACCCATGAACCAGGAGGCCAGGGTTCGATTCCCGGTCAGGGCACATGCCCGGGTTGCGGGCTCCATCCCCAGCAGGGGGCTTTCAGGAGGCAGCCGATCAGTGACTCTCTCATCATTGATGTTTCCCTCCCCCTCTCCCTTCCTCTCTCTGAAATCAATAAAAAGATACTGAATACCCAAACAAAACGAACTGATGCATACTTCTCCAAGAAAAAGGAAAAGGAAAACAGAGTCGTAAAGATAAGTCGACCTTGAAGCCCAGGTGGCTCCATCACTCAGAAAGAAGATACATTTTGAGAGCAGACCAAGGACAGCACATGCCTGCAGGGAGACAAACAGCTGAGAGCTAATCTTTACGAGGACAATGATAGACAGCAGACCCTGGGACTCACGCAGTTGTTAAATTTTTCCGCCACCCATTAATCTTATATAACGCTGGCTTCAGAGATGTCAGAGCGGCCTTTCCAGGGTGTTACGCCTGCCGCTCTCTCGGGGTGCCAGCTACCTGATTAAAGGACCGCATAATAAAGATTCGCCCTGGTCTCTACTTAATGGACTCAGTAGCAGCGGCAACGCAGACCCTCTTGTGTCCGATGTCAGTGCTCGATTAAGGGGGAGGAAGAAAGAAAAGCAGGGAAATCTCTGGAATTGGATAAAAAGTAAAACAGAGAGACACACTTCTTTTACATTGGTGGGGACAGGATCATTAATAACTAATATTCATAGCACACAGAGATGGTACTCAGGGAAACGTAACAAGGAGGGGTTCGGGGGTCTCCTGCTCGGTCTGGAAGAGCCCATTACTCTGACATTTCAAAGGTATGTTATTTTAGATGAAAAAGACAATAGACAGGCTCACTTAGTAAAGACTGACCTTTGTCAAGGAAGCTACAGGCCCAGGACATGCCTACCAGCATGACCTGCTTTCAGTTAGGAAGTTTTACGTTCAGACCACCCTGTGTGGTTACTTCGGGCCTCTTGAGTTTGTAGGGCCCACCGTACTGGCCTGTCCTGAGTTTGTCAGGTTTAGTATGCGGCCCCTTTTCCACCCACACTAATCATTAGGAAAATGCAAACCAAAACCATGAGATACCGCCTCACACCCTGTAGGACGGCTATCACACACACAGAAAACAAGCGCTGCTGAGGTCTGGGAAAACTGGAACACGTGTGCACTGATAGTAGGGACGGAAAATAGTACAGCCCCTATGGAAAACAGCAGGGCGGAGCTGCAAAAAGTTAAACACGTAATTACCTTGTGACCCAGCAGTTTCACTCAGTGTATACCCCAAACAATTGGAAACAGGAACTTAAACAAATGCTGTACACACGTGTTCACAGTACCACTATTCACAGTATCCATAAAGCACAAAACCCACCAACAGATGAATGAATAATGTAAAAAAAAGGGAAGGGCAGGGATTCTACGGAAAGTAACCTCACAGGGCGACCTGATCATAAATTCCTAACTGGGTAGGTCACTTCCCAGGCATATAACTTTTTAGCAAAAGATTTATCTTTGCTTTAAGGAAGCTCTGTCCATTGTTCCTATGCATCTGGGTTAATACATCTATGAAATCAGCCTAACCACCACAGGAGAGCACATAATCTTGTTAACTGTCCTGTAATCCAATCCCTACCTTGCTTCTTTCCCATTTTCATATAATCTTCCTTAATTACCTCCTTAGTTTCAGCTGCAAAACTTATTCTCTGGAGCTCTTGAGATCTTGCTCCCCAGTTTGGCTTAAATAAACTCTTACGGAAACTCTCTGCCGGTTTGGCTGTTTCTTACTTTGACAGTGCACTGGGATATGTTTACAATGGAGTATTATTCAGCCATAAAAAGAAATGAAGTACTGATACATGCTACAACATGGATGAATCTCAAAAACATGATGCTAAGTGAAAGAAGCCACACGTAAAAAGGTCAGGTTATATGGTTCCATTTATATGAAATATCAAGAATAGGTCAATTCAGCCCTGGCCGGTGTGGCTCAGTGGCTAGAGGGTCGGCCTGTGTGCACCAAAAGGTCTCGGGTTCAATTCCTGGGCAAGGGCACATACCCGGTTTGCAGGTTCAGTCCCCAGCCCTGGCTGGGGCACCTGTGGGAGGCAACCAATTGATGTGTCTCTCAAATCTCTCCCTCTCTCTCCTCCCTCCCTCCCTTTCATGCTCTCTAAAAATCAATGGGAAAAAATATCCTTGGGTGCAGATTAACAACAACAAAAAATTG